GCATCAACAAATTTAGCAACTTTGGCTGGATCATCAATTTTTGCACCCAACTCTTTCAGTCATTGTTCAGATGTTTTATAATTACCAATATTAATTTCTTCTTCCTTTTCCTCGTGCAATTTGTCAATGTCTATTCCATTTTCTTTCATTATGGTGAGTTGAGCTTGAGTAAGAGTTTTTTTGTTAATCTCACTAATAATTATTCCACCATCACAAATTTGGGCGAGTTTAGTTACCTTTGATTGAGGTCGATTTTTTACATAGCACCGAAAATTTTTTAAATCTTCTGTGGGAAGATGTTCCAAACCAGAATCAATATCCGTATCGCTAATATTAAAATATAACATTATGAAACTAATCTACATAAAATCCACTATGGAACCTAAAAATTATGCGGCTTTGCGTTCTTTATTAAAAAAAGAACAAGGAGAAAAAATTGCCCCTTACGTTTTTAAGTTAGAAAATATTCAAACTTTACAAAGTTATTTACAGAAAGAAAGAATTAAATATGAAACTTATCAAGAAATTGCTGAAAATGAAGTTGATTTCAATGATGAAGATTTGAAATTAGAACAAGCCTACCAAGAAATCAGTCTAGATGAAGAAAGAAAAAAACTAACTAGGCCAGCCCAAAAAGCCGCCTTAAAAGATTTACGAAAAAGATTATAATGAGTTCTAAAATAATCAAGCGAGGAGAAAGAATTAAGCAAAATTCTTCTCCGATAGGCGATTTTCCTCAAAGAGGTGAAATTTACTGAACTGACTTCACTGATGAAGAAGAGGAAAAGAAAACAAGAAAAGACAAAGTAGTAAAAGTCAGAAAGTTAGAAGCCCAAAAAGACCGTCCAGTGGTCATTCTTTCTAACGACAAGCAAAACCAATATAGCGAAGAAGTAATAGTGGCTTTAATTAGTTCGCAATTAGATAAAGTTTATTATTTTGAACCGGAAATATCTTTAAAAAAGCCAAGTAAAATATTGACTGATCAGATTTTAACTATTGATAAGAGTAGATTGGGAGAAAAAATTACTTCTCTAAATTCTAATGAAATATTAAAATTAGAAAAGGCTTTGCATGCAGTGCTTAGTTTACGAACTTATTGCCGACCTAATTTATTTACCCCTAAGACTTGACAATTGCTTCAATTGATAATCCAAAAAGAGGGAATTTCTGTTAGCCAATTATTAGAGAGAATGGTTAAAGAATATGTTGCAAGGAAAAACATCTGAACAATGACTGAAAGAGTTGGGTGCAAAAATTGATGATCCAGCCAAAGTTGCTAAATTTGTTGATGC